ATACATACATACATATGTAAACATAATCCGTGAGGCCAGCATAGCCGTCCGCCCAAAAAAGATACCGCAAAATATCCTTTTCGAACTCTTATGGCTCTTACCTGATGGAACCTTGTAGAACCTTAGAGGAATCCTTAAGCGAACCCTTGAAGAAAGACAGGGAACCCTGTGAAGAAACCCTGGAAAGCAATCCTTCAAGGAAGTCTGGTCAGACTCAAGGTTCAGTTGTTTGGGTGGCTATTCTACAATAGCTCGACTTTCTGTTCAGCGCAGAAGGGCTCCCAACCGAAGAGAGGTACAGTAGGACATTGATACACGTCCAGGGGTCATATAGGATACATTACCTTCAAGACAATAAGCGCTGCAATGAAAAATTAAATATGGAAGAGCTGGCAAAACGCTTCCCAAGCAAAGATGACGAGTCAACAACTCTACTAAGAACCCACATGACCAGTACAATGAATATCCCAACCCTTTTAACCCAAAGCCCTAAAGCCCAAGCAGTAATATTATTCAGGCCTCCACATTCCTCTAACTCTAACGATCCCTTAAGCCGTATCAAGCCTAAGTAACACTACTCAGGCTTCAACAGTCCTCTAACGGTCGAAGCCAAAGATGCAGTTGTTGTTGCACACCAGGAGATCCCACTCCTGGTTTAAAGGCTTTTTTTTTTTGGAGGGGGGGNNTTTAGGGTTTTTAGGTTTAGGGCTTAGGGGTTTAGGGGTTTGGGGTTCAGGGTTTATAGGTTTAGGGTAGGGGGGCTGGGAGATGGTGCAAAGGCTTTAAGCTTTTTTTGTCGCCCCCCTTTCCCACTGCCAGATAACTTGAAGGTTTAGGGCTCACGGTTTTAGGTTGAGGCTTGTGGGCTGTAGGACTTTGGGTGGTAGGGTCTAGTGTTCAGCTTTTTTAGGGGTTTAAAGTGCGAATCTCAAAACATTTCCGAATTAGGGTCGTAATATATTTAGAACAGGGCTTTACGAGTTGTGACAAGTTTTCAAGCTTTTTTGCTTAATCACGAGACGGGTCTTGGCAGACATGATGCGACTCTGACGAATTACCTGAGACGATGCAAACAACATCGGGGGCATGAGTGAAAGGCGTACACATCATGACCATGAGGGCAAGGGATGAGTTTCTCAGAACGTTGACTATGAGACGGAGCAAGAAAGATGCCGATGACGAGATTTGATTAGAAGGGGCTTAGTTGGGTCATTCGCTCGCCTCTTCTGCCAACTTCTGTTGGATTCGGCTCCCCAGTGCGAATCAGTTGGCGCGGTCCCGCTCCCCCTTGCATCTCATTAAACATTGGCTGACGTGAGCAGCCAAGATTGAAAGCAGTCACCTACCCAGAACTCGAGCGTATACAAGATCAGGTACAGGTTTCTGATGCCAACGGTCTCAGAAACATAATAACAACCATCATCATCATTCATCATCATAATCACAATATAGTAATAATAATTATTAATAATAGAAATACTCATCCACCCTACGCCATCAGAAACCATTGTATAACCCTGCGGCGAAGGCTCTCCGAGGTAGTCCACCATGTAGTCGCAGAGGCGCATGGCGTACTTGCCGAAGTTCGTCTCGCCCAGGAAGCGCCCTCCAGGGAGATTTAGGGAACATGTCGGGGATATCGCCTGGGCGAAAGGGTGCCACTGCTGCTGGCCGGGGCCAGCCAGTGGCAAATCAACAGAAAAGAGCAACGACGACGATGGTGACGGACCTAACGCGGCTACAGAATCCGAAGGCGGAGAATATGCCGATGTTTGCGATTTTGTGGATGAGAGGAATGGGGCTTGGCATGGTGATCAAACCATTCTGGTGGTTGTGGCGCTGATATAGCAACTAGGTCTTGATGATTGGATGCTAGCCCTCATCATCTTGATCATGATATTGGTCAGAGTCGTGGATTTGGGCAACGGCTTTACTGATGAAGATGATGTGGATAATGATGATGCCGATGATCATGCTGATGATGACGATGGTGATGATCGTGGTGATGGTGGTGATGATGATGATGATGATGCTGGTGTGGTCTGTCGTTGGCACGGCCAATACTCCAAACTGCAGTCGCCCCATGTGAATAAGAGTAACATCATCATGGTGCCGGGCCACGGCCATGATGATGACGATGACCTTGCAAGTCAGCACCACTTTAGTCTTCCTCCGAATCTCGTTCCTCCTCCGCATCAACATCGCCATCACCTTCATCGCCATGTCCAGTGCTTGCAGGATACGAGAGAACCTGCGCTTCGAATGTAGACCCGGCCTTCCTTGCAGTCCAGCGCTGCCTCCTTCATCTGGAAGGCATCACAGACGAAGCCTCAAGGGGGATACTGAAGTCAGCGGGAAGGGAGGTGGAATTGGTACACGAATCTCACTGCAGGTTCCTCTTGGAGTGCTATCCACCAGGATCTAGCAGCTAGCACACATGGGTAGTTCTGTAGATTAGGGTCCCTTTTCTGGGCCTTTGTATAAGCGTACCACTTGGGGGATCTTAAAAGGGATCCGAATTTATAGAACTACCCATATGGACCATCAAGGAATGTAAACTTCATCGAACATCTTTCTTGTGCCACAATATACTACCCGATGCAGTGAGAATGTATCTGCCACCGCGATGCCCAAATCACACGTTGGAGTCGCTGTTGCAATCAACCGGCTCTGCATATGGCTCCTGGATCCACAACAGTTCACGCGAGCCCCCCATCACAGAAAGGACAGTGTAGATGTCTTGCAAACCTGCACGAGTATTGCTCCATCACCCGAAGCTTCAACCCTGACTGCGTGAAACGAGGTTAAGGAACATATAGCCTGGTGTTCAACCACGGGCCATAGGCATCTTACGCCACAATCCAATTCCGGACGGATTAGCTAGCTGTTTGGATGTATACTCTTGCCTACAACCCTTCCCTTGAAAAGCTAAATATCTGCTAGTATGCTTGTCAGGACATGCTGACCTCGTACATTCCAAGAGGCTTCAAGTCCCTAAAACGCGCAACCCTGACCCTTGAAGACCAAGAGAAAAGGGAATTACAGCAGAGTGTCTGCACGAAGCCGGCCAACTTGCCATGAACATCGTTGACATTTGCGCCAGTAATCTCAATGAACGACCTGGGGGAGCTTCCCGGATTTCAGGGCTTGTATACTACGCTTGTCTAGGGTCTTATAACGCTTCTACCACCCTACAGTTCTCTGCTTGCGGAACCAGGGGCTATCTAATCGACTTTGGGGGCTTCGTTGTCCGACACCCCCTCACCTCCTCGGAAGTTTGACTCCGAGCCAGCCTGAGCCAGCTTATTATATGTTCGGGGGGGCCCCCTCGCACCCTAAATGACTTCAACCCTGAGCCAGCTGACTTTGAAGGATCGAAATGTCAAGCCCATCGGGACAACTTCAAACTGGTCGAAAAAGATCCTGAACCCAACCGTAAAGTCCTGCAGCTCAAAACCACGTGGCATCATTCCTCCCAAGCCCTAGCGGATGGAATCCTTACTATACAAGGCACCTGTGCAGAACCTGTTTTCAAGCGACCTCGAAGGTAGCCTCAACAAGCTAGGTCCCCTAGTAGCCCCTTAATAACACGGGCACCCGTACCCTAATCGGGTTTCATCAGCGAACCCGCCTCCACAAACTACAAGAAAGAGCAAAAGGCAAAAAGGGCACTTGAGAGAATCCTCAACCTAAAAGCAAGCCAAGGGGCTCGTGGGATGCTCGTCCCATGACGTCTCGCGCCGGAACGGAACGAAACTCCACCATCAGAAGAGGGCAGCTGGACAAGCCTAGCGAAGCTTGGGAGTCCTTAAGTATTCAAGGTTATTGAGTTTGTTGGGGGGGGGGGGGGGGGGGNNGGGGGGGGTGTAGGGTTTTAAGGGTACTTTTTAAGTTATTGAGGGTTGAGGGCTTGACTAGGAAATGCAGGCCAGCCCAGCGAAACTTTCGGACTCTGAGGGGGTTGATACAGGGTCTGACAAGAGCTTTACGTGGTAGGGCCCTCAAAGCAGAGTTCCTTTTAGGGATCGTGTTCGTATTAAGAGTCCTATCCTTCCGGGAAGCTGCAGGGTTTATGTTGGGATGCAGGGTTTAAGCCAATGAGAATGAACACGGCACTCAAGATACTCAAGGACGGTGTTTTACCAAAACGAGAACAGCAGCAGTTCACGGTTTGCTTGAGGACATGGGGCTTTGAGGGGTTAAGTCGGTTAAGTTCCAGGCGAAGATGGATTATTAGTAAAGGCTGCTGTAGATATGAAGAGTCATCATGGTGTCAGGGCTTTTGCTTTGGGCCCTTCTGTGTCGAAGCATGGACCTGGAAGCTCTGCCCCGATTGCTTCCGAAACCTCTTGAAGGTAGTGCTGGGACTTTGTGAGCCCTTCACCCCCAAACCCAAGCCCCTAAGCCCTANNCCCTAAACCCAAAGCCCTAAACGGTTGAACTCTGCGCTCTAGCTGTCCTCTCCCATGCATTGCCGTTTTGGGTTTCGGAGCGTTTTGCTAGAGGGTCCTTGAGTAACAAGACCGTGTATGACACCACCCTGAACCCTAAACCCCTAAAACTTGTGGAAGGCTTCCGACCGCCCAGGCCTTCACGCTTGGCGCCCACGAACTTGATCTGATGCTCTCGGACGAGGCCATTGCCGTGCCTTCGCTTGGGGGCTTCGAAAAGGGTTCCTTTACGCGTTCAGGCTCTTTAGGGTTGTGTAGGACTTTAGAGGAACTTGTAGGGGGTTGTAAGCTTGAGGTTCAAGGTTGAACGGTTCTTTGAAGGCTGGCTGGAAGGGATGCTGTGAAGGCTACCGGCTACTAGAGCAAGGTGCAGGTATACGGTTTACAACCCAGGCAAGGCTTCAGGCTTTTAAACTTGCAGTGTTGAAAGGCTTAGGCTTCAGGGATATTAAGGTCAAAGGTCTCTTCTAAAGCCCACGCACCTGCCTGAGACCCTACTCCGTTGTCTCCACCTAAAGGGCTCATGCAACCCACCCTCCCAAACCTTAAAGTCAACAAAAACCTCTAAACAACTAGGCCCCCAAGCCCCAAACCAAAGTCTATCAAACCCCGAAGGCCTAACCAGGGACCCGAGCCCCTAAGGAAAGCAGCGCGAACCCTAAACCGCCAAGCTTCAAAGACCAAGAAGCCCTCAAACCCCAAACCCTTAAAGTTTCAGCCCTTTTCAACATGCACTCAGGTTTAGGGTTAAGCGGTACCCCAAACTTTGAGCACTCGTTGAGCCTTTCACCCTACATATTGTATACCCTGAACCCCTAACCCCTAAACTTAAACCCTAAACGAAGGCTTAAACCCTAAACCCCAAACCCTAAGGCTTAAAACCCTAAACCCTTTTCGCCAGGAGGCTTCTTCTGATTGGGAAGTGTGAGGCTGCCGCCGTTGCAGGATGCCAACTCCCAGCCCCGGCTGCTCATGAAGGTGGCCTGAGCAAATCAGGAGCTCATAGTTCCTGCAAAGTGGGCTTAAGGCCTTTAGGGGTTTGGGGCTTAGGGCTTTTAGGGGTTTAGGGGTTTAGGCGTTTAGGGTTTTAGGGTTTAGGGGTTTAGGGGTTTAAGAGTCTTTAGGTCGCAGGCCTTAGGGGTTAAACTATTGGGGTTTGGGGTCGAGGGCTTAGGGGAGATATCTTTTTTCGTACTTTCTAACTTGCTTTTTGTTTTCGCATTCCTTGCGAACAATGGAATACCAGCACAAGGTTATTTGCGGTTGTGTTTGGCAGGGCCCATTTTTTCATATGCTTTGTTTGCAACATACGGGCCTTAACGATTAACTGATTTTGCAGTACACCACACTATAGGCTCCAATAATGTTCCCCTAAACCCTAAACCCTAAACCCTAAACCCTAAACCCTAAACCCTAAACCTCTTCCTCACATGGGCTGAAGAGCTTGCAGAGAAACAACACTCTCAGAGAGAGGCAAAGAACGAGGAAACATGAGAGAGCGAGAGAGGAAGGTTTAGGGCTTATGGCTTCGGGAGAGAAATGAGAGTGAGCCGACATGCATGCATAGTGCCGTACAGGCCTTTCTTTGTTTGCAACAGGGTTTGCCAGGCAGTGTCTTCCTGACTTTAGGGGTTTTGTACTTATAGGATTGAAGAGACTTGATACTGTAAGTCGAGCTGCTACAATTCATAGAGATACAGGGGCCTTAACAGCCTTAACAATTACACTAGTGGATCCTGCACACAGGAAGGAGCCTACAGACTTTCAACTGGATATCTTTACTCGGCATGAGCACCTCTAAACCCAAAAGTATATCCTAGAACAGTAAACCGAAATCCTTAAAAAAGATGTCGAATGTTGACACCGTAACAGAAACCCGCTTTATGTTATAGGGACAAGATCCGGCATCATCTTACTCGTTGGCTTCGGTTTACTGTTCTCATCACACTCGATCCATGTATCTACATACCTAGTTACCTATCAACCCTTGTGAAAGCCCTTCTAAACAGCCCATAACAATGACTAATTGCGCCTTAGAAACCCTAAACCCTAAACAATATAATTGGCCAAGCACCAGTTCGAGCGTGCGCCGCCCCAGGTTGTTGCGAAGGCCATCCCGGAAGTAAAAGTTCGGCGGTGTCCTCACTTCGGGCGTAGATGCGGCGTAGGGTGCCAACCCCCCCATTTCGAGGAGGGGGCCCGGTCTGCTGTTCAGGGTTTCGTAGTTCAGGGATGGTTTAGGGTTTATAAGGGTTTAGGGTTTAGGGTTTTAGGGTTTAGGGGTTTGGGGGTTTAGGGGTTTGGGGGTTTAGGGTAGTTTAGCATTCACGTGGCGACAAGAAGAGATTCTCCTCCCACGCACTCCACGGCATGACACCCCAAGACTTGCTCAAGTCATGCGCTGGACGGCTTGCTTTTATGAGCCCAGGATGACATGAGTGTTTCAAACAGTACTGTATGACCCGGACTCAAAATTAGCTTTTTCCGCACAGCTCTGATAGGAGCCAGTTTGGCGCGCCGAAAGTAGAAGCCCAAAAGTTGGAAACCCAATGGCCTCAATCCTTACGAGTAATGCACAAGGAATCCCAGCAGTGCTTGTCCTTAATTATTAATCCGGTTTCCAACCTTCTTGGGGTCTACCATAAGATCATACTGGAATCTTCCAAGTCTTCAGGTTCGGAGATGATCGCAGGAATTTGGGATCCCGCATCGGCTTACAACTTACACGTCAGAACCGAAACCCGAAGCCCTAAACCCTAAACCCGGTGGGTGTGATTCTTCGCAGGATTTATACGACAATTCTCACAACAGCCTCAATGTACCCACACATCCTCCACCCTGCACAATGCCCTGCAAGTCCACGAAATCCAAGAGCTCCCAAGCCCCGAGACCTCACCCCCCAAGACCCACTAAGCCCGGAATCTTCAACCCTGAAACCCCCAAAAAACTCACGAAACCCCTACATAAACCCTCAACCCTCATCTTTGAGAGCTAAGGCCTAAGGCCTAAGCCCCTGAAAACCCGAGCAGGGCCCTAGCCAGCTCCTGTACTTGCGATCGCAGTACTTGGCATTGAACACCTCGAAGATGCTGTTCCGGTACTCAGAGCAGCGCCACTGGTGGCTGAAGAACCTTAGGGCCTTAGGGTTTAGGGTTTAGGCTTGAGGGCCACACCAAGTTCGTTCTCTTAGTCTTCGTGATGGCCTTGTATAACACTACATTACATGTTGTGGCATATAACGGCATCTATATACATGTACAAATATAAATAGAACATAATATGATATACATATATACACATAAATAAAGACTATATATACATTATATATAGTCTCTCTCTGTACATATGCGTATACATACATGCGTACATATACGCATACACACAGACACATAATGCACAAGCATATATCCAAACTTGAAACCCTCAGCACTCCACCAGCAACTTGGCAGGTTGCTCTCAGACTGGGTCACCTACAAGTCCACAAGACGCAAGCGTAAGATCAGGACCATGACCCGCGGCCGCGAACCTATAACTGTCATTGGAGTTTGTGAAGTAAGGACAAGTATTCTCGTAGCCTCAGTTGCAAAGTTCCATCATTCTGCAAGCCCACCCCCAACTTGTGGAACCCTCTTAAAAAGGCTTGTAAAAGCCCTAACCTACTAAGCGCCAGACTTAAGGCTCCAGTCCCTGGCGAGCGGCTCATGCATCGCAGACGCGGCCGAAGGTGCGTTCTGAATGCCGCTGACCTCAAACTCCAGTGTAAGGGCCTTAACGATTCGAAGAGGGTTCCTTGCCGTAGACATAAATACCCGATGTGTTGAGCCTGAATGAATAGGTATAGTCTTATGCGGTAAAAAGCCACAAACTACGTGAGAAAACAACAAATCTTTGGATACACTTCAGAAACCCTGCGAAACTTGTTTGTTGGAACTGTTTCAAATCTAATTCTTAAGAGCCTTATTCAAAGTTTACTAGGCTTACTTTATTCACAAAAATTAAGTTTGGGGCAAAGCGCTTCTTTACTGATGTTTGAAAATAACAGGGAGACTTTAACGGTTTGCTTTAAAGGGCTCCTTGCAAGGGTTCTTTTTTCAGGGTAGTTCTCATGCAAGGAATGCTTCCTTCTGAGGGTTCCTTTGCGGGGTTCTATAAGGATTCCAACTGATGCAGCGGCCTTAATAATTAGAATTGGGTGCCTGTAACTCAATCTTGGGGTGTAATTAGTTTAGTATAGTTATGTAGCAATTATAAAGTCCATAATTATTAACAGGGGATAGGAGTACCAACTCTTCGACCTCTATATTACACCCGGGTTTAAGATGTAGGGGCTTAACGGCTTAACCATGAACCCCACAACCACATGAACGTCTCGAGCTTATAACTAAACACCTCCGCCCTAGACCCCCTGAAGAAGGCCCTTCTCTCAGGAATTTTTCGGGTCGACCTCGACGTACCCGACATCGCGAAGCTCCACCAGCAGGTGGTCGCAGTCCTGTTTCGGGAACAACGCGTACAGGATGTGGCACGTAGGGATATGGGTGCAAGTAGGGATGAGGTGGAACAGTGGCACTTAAGATCTAGCTGCTACTTACTGGGAATATTTCTTTATCACGGTAGCAACAACAAAACCTCCTTTTGAGGAAAAATGTGAAGTTGTAAAGAGCTCCTGGTGCGCAAAGTCGTCATAGCGGAGAACGATCTGCTGCTCTCGCTGGTCGCCCAGGCGCCCGAAGTTGCTCGCATTGCAAGCAATCATCTTCCAGTGGCAACCCTGAGAGGCAGGTAACACGGTTTAGGGCTTCGGGGTTATAGTTGTGATTTTTGTTTAAGGGCTCTTTTCCGTCAGCACGACCCGCGGCCTACAGAAGCCTACTTGAGGGTTTGGGGTTCAGGGTGTAGGGGGTAATGGTAGCTCGAGGTCGGGTTGAGGATCACCCCTGTGGCCTAAACCCTTGACCCTAAACTTTAAATCCCGAGGGTCCGTCGGAGATGGACCGCAGTGTTAGGACAATATCCTTCTCGACTTGTCGCATATCAGCGCATGTAGCCGGATTTACTGCATGCAAGGCAATTGATATGTGCACACAATGCAGTTGCGGGTAAAGGCATAGAAGGCTCTGGACTGACAGATACACAGACACTGCATGGGCAGGTACATCAAACAATATAGATGCATCTGCGCTTGAACATGTATGTATGACTGCATGTATGTCTGCACGTCCGTGTGTCTGGATGCCAGTGTGCGTTCATGTCTGCATGTCTGCGTGTCTGTATGCTTGTATGTATGCATGTATGTAGGGCATGTATGTACATTTGCATGTTAGTGCTATGTGAGTGTACGCGCGTACGCTGTGTGCATGCATACATGTGCACATGTATCTGCACACATAAGTTGTATGTATATATCTATATATAACCATACATAAACATGTAACATTACTACATATATATATACACACACACGGAGATGGTGACGTCCTACCGAGCGTGGGTGGGTGGGTTTGGGCTCGGGTTCGGATTGGGATCATTATTGCTCCCTGTGTGCAAAGGCGCACCCCTCCCTCCCCCAACATCGCACATTCGGAAAACCCACAGAGCCCCAGCCTTGCTGAGAAAGTCCACGAGGTGCCTCGAAGCTGCAGGGCCAAACATTGCCTATTCCTTTAGACCTGTGGTTTAGGCTTTCGGGTTTAGGGTGTATGGCGGCTTAAACTATTTTTTTACTGGAGAGCCCCAATAAACCATGTCGCCTGCTCAGCCAAAGATTTCTGATTTCCCGAAACCCACACAAGGGTTCAGGCCGGGAGTGGGAATGCAGCAATCGCCACACTGGAAGTCCAACTTGAGGAAACCAGCCAAAGCAAAAATGATGAATTATGATCTTCGTAATCAAGATCACGTAGATTCTCATACGCTGCTACAGCAGCAGCCGTGGCTGTGATACTTAACAAGCAATAGTTAGTGAAGTGAACAACACAACCGATTTCAGAAAATGATCTTCGATTATTCGCCGCCATCATCAACACCAGCACCATCACCATCATCGTCATCATCATCATCTTCTTCTTTTTATTCACCATCATCATAAACATCAGCGGCAGCATCGTCATCATAGGCCCTAGGCACAACCACGAACAACGCCATCACAAACGCTAACACTGATGCTGTCGTCATCACCAACATGATCATATTCACCAGCATCGCCATCACCCTCGTCATCAGCGTCGGCATCACCACCATCGACATCATGATCCCCATCATGACCTGCTGACAATTGGCAGAAGCGCCACCTTAGTCGTCCTTAGTCGTCCCAACCACCATAGTCATGATACCCAAGGTAGGACACAGGGCGTTGCATTAGATCCCCCTGTAAATCCAACAGCCTAACCTTCAGCCTGAAAACGATGTTTTGAAACCTACTCCTAAATCGCGAACATCCGGCTGTTGCTTATGTCCTGCTCTCTACCTCTCTCGTCGTGGTCTCCTCTTCATGTGTTCAATTTTTGCTGAAGGGAGTGAGACGAAGGGTTACAGAATCCGTCTTCATGAAAACAATGCACAAACATGGAATCTTGCAAGAAGGGAGAATACATTGAATCTACAAATTTCCCATTATGATCGTCGCCCGAAGCTCAAACGCTTCGGTTCTGGTGTTTCCGAGTGGCGATATGTCTAAAGCAATCCACCCTGAGTAGTAATACAGAAGCGCAAACCATTATCAATCCACCCTGAGTAGTAATACAGAAGTGCAAACCATTATCATTGTAATTACACAAATACAAGAAACTGCAACAACAATGATAACAACCTTTAAAATATTTATAATAATAGTGAATAATAAAAGGTAGTTACTGATAATAATCGTGTGATATGCTACAGTATCATCTGTGCTTTAGTAGGAGCCCCGCCCACAGAGGGACCCCACAATAAACCCTAAACCATTCCTCTGCGCTGCCCGGACGCATGGCACAGAGGCCCATGTTGTTCTCACCTTCGGAGCCTCTTTTTTGGAATGCGCGGCAGCGATATTTGCCTTAGCTTCTGGGCTTAGCGAGTTTAGGGAATTTAGCCTTTAGCGCCTTGGGCTGCAGGCCACGGACGCTTGACGGTTTGGACACAGGCCTGGTCATCTATGGTTTTTGCGGCTGGCTTTTAGGGCCTTTGGGAGGTGTGGGATTTAGACTGTGGGGCTCGAGGTCAATAGGTTTCGGGCTCGGGGTTTAGGGTTGAGCAACTTCCAAATGTGCTTTGCTTAATCCTGAACTACGAAAGCCTTCGAGCCTGAAGCTTTCCCGAGCCTAAACAGGAGCTTACTATGTATTTGCGGGCATCAGCAATATCTCCTTGTTGATGGTCCCTAGCCGTACAGTGATATGGCACCCTACGACCCTTCTCTTGCGAGTAAATCGGGCCCCGACATGCTCAAAACTGCTTGACACCCTACAAGAACCCTATCGCAGCCCTCATGAGGCTCCACTGAACTCGGAATTCTCTCTGTGTTGACACCCTGAGCTTCACTCGCTAAACCCCAAACCCTAAACCCCTAAACCCCAAACCCCTAAACCCCTAAACCCTAAACCCTGAGCTTCACTAGCCCTCCGAGCTCCACAAGGCCTAGAAAGCTTGCTACAGGCGCTCCATACCCAAGGAATTCTCATCCTGGCGCCTGGCCCTGGTACCATGATGGCCTAGGTTTTAGGGTGTCGGGTTTCGGATCTAGGGGTTTAGGGGTTTAGGGTTGAGGGGTTTAGGGTTTTAGGGGTTTAGGGGTTTAGGGGTTTTGGGTTTAGGATTTAGGGGTCTATAGTTTAGGGTTTAGCTCAAGGCCCTATTCAAAGTATTCAGAC